ACGTTAACCTCAAAGAACACATATAAAAAGTGTCATTTTCAGTTCGCAAGTAGAACAAAAAATAAAAACGACGTCGAAATTATGTCAAAATGATACATCATTTTGACTTCGTCTTGATTTTTGTAGGACTTTTTCTTCTACTTCGGTCGCGAATATTTCAGCTTTCGAATGGTAAATCGTTTTCTTTAATTACACTAATAATTAAGTCATGGTTAAATCTACATATAGTGCAAGTTTCAACGAATTCTTAAAAAAAACTCATTTTATGCTACAACTACTTAAGAAGGATAAATCGATCCTCGATGTCGTAACGTTTGTAATCGCGCGTATGTAATAAATACCGACATATGATACGGCGACCTACGGGCAATTAAATTTTTACCACGCTGAATAGCTCATCCGTAAGTAGATTAATGGCTGCAGGCCTCGATTAAGTGGAACGGCGTAACGCAAGCTTATCTAATATATAATCTCGCACAGGGATGGATTATTAGATCAAGTGAACGTGAGGATTAAACCTCGAAGGTTCTACGTTATTATAGGAACTTCGCCCTATATGGCCTCGCTCGTACGCAAAACTTATAGACCTTCGCGACGGATGACAATCGAAGCCGTGAAAAGTATCGGAGATATTTCTCAACTGTCATTATACAACACCAATAAAACGTGACACGATTGAATTGCAGAAAAAACAACGCAGAAACTGACATGATTTCTTTATTTTTATTTGTGGTCCCAGAAAAAGGTAGAAATAGGTCACTTCATCGATGAAATATCGAGAGTCGCGACGTCCTCACTTCTGCGGGTCGCTCAAAATAGTTAACACCGTTACAAGAAGTCGAAGCTGACGAATGCGTATCCGCTGAATCGCGTGTCTGTCTCGTTCGATCAGTCGTTCGAAATCCATAATTCGCTCGATTGTCTGGATAATGAAGAAAACATCTCGGCAAAAGTTGCAAGAGAGCGTTGAAAGCGCAAGAATGCATATTTCAGGGCACGCGTTAATACTTTATTGCGTTGTATTTCATGCTACGGACGTTATTATGAACGTTGCCGCTGTGTTCGCATGCAAAATAGATGATGGTTCGCATTTGTTACCGGTAACGAGATATTTCCATTTTATGATCGAGAAATCTCGAGGCACGTGGAGTTTCCTGTCGCGAATCTCAACTCGGCGACACGTCACCACGGATGAAAGGATATGCGTCTCCTGATTCGACCCAATTCGATCAAGTTCAATCCGCGCGGCATACCGAGCTGCCGTTTATTAGTAACGGCTAGTCAGTAATCAGCCAGCACGGACTTCAATGGACACTAATCAGAGATAAAAACCACAATTTTACTGTTGAAACTGCAATCCTTCGATAAGTTGGAGCAATGGAACGACGCCTGCGGGAAGTCACTTCGTATTTCGCGGTGGTACACGAGTGTATTTCGTGTAGCAAGTTTATTTAAGCTTTGCTTGCTTAAATAAATTGCTTACATTTTACGTTTGAAAGATAATCGAAATGCCCCGAAGAGATGTGATGCGAGAGCAAGAAAATATCGACCGTCGTATTTTATTCTGCATTTCCCTATCTTTGCTCTTTTTTTCTTTAGAGCAATTATTTTTCATCTCGCGGAAAAAATAGAGGACTTTAACGCCGCGAGTGACATGAACCTTATATTTTCCTCCTTATATTTTTCATCATTATGCCATCCCGAGCTTATCTTTTGGATTTCTTTAAATTTCAAGCTCATAGCGCACGGGCGTTTTGTAACACATTCACTCGTATAAAATCGCGTAAAACTTTGTATACTTTGAATGCTTACGACCAATTACCCACCATTGCGCGCAATCTATCGTTACAAGCGTCGCATTATGGAAAACGCGATTCCGGCAATTCGTAATAATCGTTTCGATCATCAGCACGAGTTTCCGCATCGCGCAGCTCGTTACACGTACATTCTGCGCGAGGACGGTCGTTACGCTTTTAGCGTAGGTTAATGACATGGAAAGTTCACGGGTAATATTCGCACGCTGGACCGAAGTGTTGAATCTATCTTCTCCAGTATAGGAATAATGGTAGGTCGTTCGAAAATACGTAAAATCAATATATCGCGGGCTACACAGCGTCGATGCGATTCAAGACATAGTATTGGAGACGTCATCTGTTAAAAGTGACGCGTCACTTACGTACGGCCGTGTCAAGTATGATGTGAGGTCAAAAGTAAGTAAATTCTACTCTTTCTCACCCTCTGTTCTCTCTTTTGGGTCAGTCTGATTCAGAAAAAATTTCAATCGTCAACGAGAAATCTAATGGAGTAATGCGACTTACGATTCGTTAATAATGCTGATCATAACGATTAACGTGAATATTTGTGCGTTTGTAAAATTGCACCGGGAACTCTCCGATGAACTCGGTATATTTTTGCAAGGAATACTTTTTCTCTCGGGATTACACGTCATTGTGTACATCGCCCTCCTACAAAGGCATACATCGCCGAACGCAGCGTGCACATCGTCGTCGTCGTCATGTTTGTACAAAACGACGGACGTGCCGGCTCGCAAAGTTCCTTCGCGAGAGAAACGTCTACGACGAAATTGCGCCTTCGCGACCTGAAGCGCGCCTCTCATACTCGCGTACTCTTCATCGCGTAATCCCACGAGAGAGAGTTCATCGCACCGGTTAAACGCTGGTAATTCATCGCTGGAGAACCGACGACGAAGAAAGTTTCGCATACATCCGGCCGGCGGACGCAACAGCATCGAACTTTATCAATGATGCCACGTAGGAACTCCGTCCGTGCGCGCCCCGCGAGCGGAGCATGCGTGCTCACTCCGGCGGACGCGGCAAAGTCTAATTATTGATCACCGCATCGCCGCATATGAAAGCCGGCTTCTTCGCGGTCACGACGAAACTTGACGACGTCGCGATTTCTTCGCGACGCCCGACAGACAGTCTCGAGGATTATCTCGACTATGCTTCGTTCGCCTCTTTTCTTGCTCGCGCTCGTACAACACGTCACTTTTGCTTGAGAGCACCGTGAACGTGATACGATAACACGCAGAACGTTGGAGAATTTCTCGTGCTGAGACGGATGAGAGGACGACAACGGAGAAGTGTCGGATAACAACGTCGTATGATAGATACGTCTAACGTGAACCTAGCTGTAAAATTTTCTACGGAGAAACTCGCCTAATATTTTTTAATTGTATTTCTTAAAGACCCCGCTGTTGAAGCTCGCCGTAAGGTTCAGCCGAGAAATTATTCTGAAATGAACTGCTCGAAACTTCTCGCTTACTCCGAGGGGAAAATTTAACAGAAGCGAGAAATACTTAAATTGCATTAATTCCCTATCAGACTTGAGGTCTCTCGTATTTTCAGCGTGTTTTTCTCGTAAAAGAAAATCGCATTTACAAGTTAAAAGGGGAATTTACGATAGTTACATTATCTTTTTCCTCGTCGCAATGAGATTAAGAAGAACGTGTCGCTTTAATGTGACGTGCAATCGTTTATTATGCGTGAATGAGCAACAAATTTGAAAATATAACGTAACTCACGTACTCTCGACTGTCTTGCTTGTTATATTATCTATTTTATATATTAATTTGTACCGATATTTTCGTTGAATATTTATTGAGTGTCTCGGCATGTGTTCTAGAGTGTCTTATAAAAATTGCAGCTTCATGAGCGTTCAAGAAACACACAAAAATGCCCCGGCAATGTTTTTACATCTTTTAACAGCTTTCATAGAATATTTCCAGCGCGGGCGGTAAGCTGCTTTTCCCAGAACTACCATTTTTACGTTGCTCTATAAATTTTTGATCCGTTTTCAGTATCCTTAAGAGCTATCGAGCACCTCTCGGCATCCTTGAAAAATGTTTCCGTTGTCCGAAAAGGTGACTTTCTTGCCGGCATGATGAAAATTTTACATCATCACCGGAGATACAGCGTTATTTCCCCATCACATCGCGAGCCCTTTTAAAGTTGCAAACGTAATGAATTTCGTTGCAAAGTCAGAGACTCAGCGAGATTAAGCCATTTATTTCATTCCTGGCGAATCCTTTCTTCTACAAATATTGCATGCAATCAACGTGCATTTCGTAGAAAAACTTCCGGCAAATGCCAAAGATAAACTTTTTATGCGATCGTTCAATCGAACGACGTTAATTGCGCGATACCGCTTCGGGTTTCGGAGTCACGGAGTGCACCGTTTGGGAAAAAGTGATCAACTGTCCGGGGATTTTTCGAGCGAAATATATGCGCGCGAAACTTTACACGCTAAAAAATCCCAAACGCTATTTACACGCGAACAAGTGTCATGACGAGAGCTTGTGCGACGCGCATAAGCGCGCGCTGCGCGAGATACCGAGAAGAATGGCGTTTGTTTCACGCTGGTACGTCAATTTCTCGCCGAGATACGTTCGAGGATATGAAAATTTTCGAAAGAGGCGTGCAGATCTCTCACCGCCGACCGGCGGCGCGTGGCCTTTACCACCGAGCGGCGACGCGCCCGTGGGCACATTGTAATACGCCCGCGTCGCGCACCTGACACCTCGACGGCGCGCAGCATTGACGTCGGATCTAAGTCCCCGTCAAAGGATTCGCCGCTCGCCGATATCTCCGTATAAAAAAGCAGCAGCGACATGGGATAACCTGCATTCGGAAGCTAGTTTTGTCCCGCTTCCGCTGAAAAGTTGATTGATCGTTCCTCCACGTTGCTGATTAATTTCGCCCACTAATGCGAGGTAATTATGCGAACTGACGCGTGTCAGTTAGCATTACGTCGATGGGGCTTGCAGCACCACTCATCTATAATGAGCACTCAGACGAGCTTAATAAGCCTCATATTAATGAGAATACACACCTAAATGATTTATATCGTGCGGTGTAACCTGAGGTTTTGTGCGATGTTGCAAAATTCCAGCGCTTATCGCGCGACAAGCTTCGTGCATTAAAGCCGGGTTTATTGAAAAGCTCAGACGCGAAGGCGTTCAAAGTGGGGCGTTTACTCACATCGCTTGGCGCTGAGCGCTTGCAGATAGGCCGTAATGATATCGCACTGTTTATCACGTTTGGCAGTGAGATAATCCTTTCGGCGCAGCTGGCGAATAAGCAGGCCGCCTGTGTGAACGATGTGGTCGCGCAGTGTCACCAGCAAGATCTGCAGTTCGTCCTCTCCTGCGTACAGAATTAACCTTTGTGGCGGTCGCGTTCGTTAAGTGAAAGATTACTCATAGACGCGCGCTCTTCAATAAGCAAAATTTAATATCCAGAGACCGACGCCGGAGATTTTAAGTACGCAACAGCGGGGAATTTAATAACACTTCTATATTACGTTCGCCTTTGTCTCGCGCAGCCCCGCAGAGGATATACACGTAAAGCCGCCGTTTTCTCCGTCATTGTCTCATCTCGTTAGAACGCGGTTAATTTGAAAAGCCTGAAAGCGCGAAAAAGCACAAAAGCGCGCATTATATTGCCAGCACACCCGTGAGCGACCGCGCGGCCTTTACAATCGCGGCAAGCGGCTACGCGAGCGATTGCATTATTCATGAAGTCAAAGGTTGCGCGGTATCGAGAAATCTTGGGAAGAAATTTGCAAGACCGTCGATAATCCGGGGAATAATAATAACGTTATTACGGGAAAAGCGGAAGGAGAAAACGCGCGCAAGCCAATTCGCCGCCCCTTCCGTTTCCCGAAAAGCTCCGCCGACGTTGGTAAGCGGAGATGCACCGAGTACCTTCTTCGTTATTGCTGCAGCGCTTCTTTCCTCGGAAAACGTAATTTCACCTCTTCAAGCTCTTGCAATTTAACCGATCGATTGTATCGTATCGCTTAATTTACACGCCGCGCATTCATCGCGCGTGAACCAACGGAGAACGATCGCGCGTTTACGCGCGTTCTATTTTACGCCCTCTTATTCTCGACGTCGTCGCGAAGGAACATTTATTCCGCCGCAGGCGCTCAGGTGTCGCCGGCCATAATGCGGCTCGTTTCTTATTACCGGGAATTTCAATCATCAAGATGGATGTGAGCTTTCACACGTGCCTATTTTTCCGCGACGCCGTGCGCCGCCTATTTATCCGGCGCGCGCATTGAATTATCTTACTTTTCAATAGCAGACGGGCTTTCTGCAGATATTGATGTTGCGGGCGTGGTTTCAAGGACGAAGCCGTTGAATCGCTTTCCGAACGTCCTCTGTCGCCCATCGGAATGCCATAAATGTCCAACAGTAGCTGATCCACCAGCGAGGTAATCGCGATTTCTTCCCGCGGCGGCGAGCAGCGCAGAGGTGGCGGATACACCTGAAATACGATCGCCGGATGATTTTACCCGAGACACACTCAGGTGCTTTCACATGGTAAAAGCGAGGGGGGAACTGACACAAAGTAACGCTAACGATGACGTAGACCCGTGCAAACCGAGGAGAAAAGTTGCAAAGACCTCGCATTATCCTGTCCGTTCTGCCTAATGTCGTTGCCTCGACAATGGCTACTCCCACCGCTGCTTCCTCGTGGGATTATTGTATTAAGAGTTCCGTTATAAGTACTACCCTCTGAATCCGTCGCCTGTATTATTCTCAACGTCTGCCTAATGTTCTATGTTACGAGGAACAGCGGACATTTTACTACGTTTTTACCGAGACCACACCCCGGTCGCATATTTTATTAATGAATAAATTTCGAGTCTCCTCTCCCCGGAGAGAAGTCCAATCGTCCCAAAAGAAACGAGTACGTATCCCAACTCCCGCGTATACTACTAAAGTAAAAAACATTTTGTACTTGTGTTAAAACCGGTCCTTGTTAACATTTCTATGTTAAATTTTTAATATCAGTTAATTTAACATATTGTGTTCATGTTGTCTCAATATATATGTATATATTTTTTTTTGTGTTGAGTCGATATTCAACATATATAAGTGTTAGAATAACACATTTTATATTTCAATGTTGATTAACATACTATAAACATTATATGATTATGTTAACGTTTCACATCATATTTGTGTTATTTTCCAACATATTCATCTTATATTAAATTAACCCTCTAAAGACAAAATGAATCTTCAAATATCCAGGAAAATAGGGTTGGGTACGACCCCATGTTCTGCTTTGTTCATTTTTCATATAATCGTATAAAATGAATAAAAGAAATAAATAATAAAATGACATATTCCTTAAGAAGAGGAACAGCACGTACACGCTATAAAATAAACGAGCCATGGGACCGTGTCCGACCCCAACCTTGTGGTTAGAGGTTAACATAAAAATTTGTATGGGCCGTGTGAGACATGTGAAATCACTAGAAGAAATTTCATGTATTTTTGAACAGTTACTGGATATATTAATACTTGTTCAGTAAGTGAGGAGTAAAACTACTTGAAATCCGAATCAACATGTCTGCATTTCTGCAATTACCGTGCAATTACCGTGCGCAAAATCTGAACCCATTTACTGAAAGAAAACAGGACAATAAATGGACAAAATGACTATTCAATTAATTAATATTAGGCAATAACAGGGCAAGTATCTACGCAAGCTGCACATACTTTTGCCAGGAAAACTGCTTCAGCCACTGGATGAAACTCCATCAAGTTTTCGTCTATTTCCTACTCAGTATTGTTACAACTGATATTATTAAACAAATATTGTTCATGAGAATACATTAATATTAGATAGTAACTAATATGGGTATCTAAGAAAAGTGCATACGCTTTTACCAGAGATGTGTTAAATTTAGCAGAAAATCTTTTACTGTGTAGCGTCCCGAGGTGAAATCGGAGCGAAAATAGAGACGTCCGTTGGAGTGCGCGAGCGAGGCCTTTCAGCCTCAGCCATATCAGCAGTTGGCAAACTCCGATGTCTGGGGATCAATTAATCTCGTGTCGTTCGCGAACGTTTACCTTGGGCCTCCTGACAGCCGTGTCGTGCTTGCCGGCATTCTCATAATTAAACGCGATCTCGCTCGGCGCATCCCCCATCGACTTGCAGCGCCTTTGCCAACGCGAGCTCGCGGCCGTGCGGTTGGCGCTTCCGCTTAGACGTCTGCTGTTCAGCAGCATGAAATCCGGGCCATCCAGCGTCTGGTGTATCAGATTGCGCCGCCGTTTCCTGTACATCATCGGTGGGATCTGCGCATAGTCGGGATTCGGATCGTGAACTAGCTCCCGCGTCTGCTGGGTGACGTAGACGTCGCCGAAGACGCGCTCGTTCTCCACCGTGACGCATTTCACGCGGTAACTGATTTCCGCGTACTTCTTCAGTGGCATCACGTTGCAGCTCATCATTATTGTAATCCTTGCTCTCTCTCTCTCTCTTTCTCAGTTTCTTCGATACAACGATACCGCCGTGATCGCCGTCTGCGCGAACGATCGAGTCTCAGGTTTCCCGCATCGCACCGGTTGCTGCACCGGCGACGAACTTGGCCGCGACGAGCGCGATAGCGAACGCGCGCCGTAAAGTGCACTCGATCAATCTCCGGTTACGGTTGCCTTTGTCGTCGTCGTTGTCGTATTGGCCGCAACTTCGGCTCGCATAACGGCGCGGCAGTTTGCAGCGGCACGTTCGGCGTATACCATTGATCGGCGATACGGTCCTGCATTTATTTGCACTTGCAAGAACGGGGGGTTATCTCGTTATTATCTCGTTTTGATCGTTTCCGATTTACCGAAAACTCGGTGGTTTACGACTCGTTCCTCCCCGTTTCCTCTTCTTTCTTTATATTCCACGCGTCATTTCGCGATTTTTCCATATCCGGCGAAATCCTCCATAATTTATAATTTGAGACGGCGGGATCACTCGGTCCTCTCGTCGTCCTTGTGTGTGACAGTTATTAATTACATTTACGCCGTCCGATGATTCGTATGAAGTTCGGAACGTTATACCTGACACGTGTCATTTCCTGAACATAGCGATAGGAAGAGTAATTAGAGACGTTACGTTATATTATGTGCGCTATTATGTGTGCAGTTGCAACTGAATACACCGGTAGCAGCTAACCTTGGACTAAGTGCAGGATACGAGAGCGTTGATAAATGATAACCGCCTTCATAATGCGCCAGCAGTCATAATTATATAATGTTTATCGGCATTCCTTTACATACATATATTTTACATATATTTCGTGCATCTATCGTGCACTGATATGTCATTCCCGAAAATGAATTTATAAAAAGCAACTGATATATGTAAGTGCGTTTCAAAAGTTATCGAAACGGAACAACAAAGCAAACAATCAATCGTTGCGATCATTCGCGAACTGTCCGCAAGTCGTTGATACAAGTATTACACTAGCATACGCGATAAGATAATAAGAAATAAAATTATTTTGTATTTTATTCATACTTGCTAATATTGCGGCACTCTTATGTGTTATCCATTCGTTGTTGATACAATTTGTTTGTTTATTTTCTATTGTCTATAAACGAGACACCATACACTTCACGAAACACGTAATATTACTTTGCACTTCGACGTATGCAAGCTCTATTTTCCACGAGCCAAACACAGCTCGTAACTAGAAATTTTTTTTTTACACGTTTCTTTCTATTTTAAAGCAACGCGGGCTAACACTGTAATATAACTCCAATTCTATTTTGCTTATATAAACATGATTATTTTTGAATCCTTCCGATTTTTTAACGCGTACAACGCACTTCTTATCGTGAGGTGGTAATTCTCTTCTGGTAGCCAGACCGCAACTGGAAGTGCCGGGCATGATAATCGTTTCATTAAGTCTATACTTACACGCGTGTCGTCGTCCGGCTTAGTTAACGGAGGTGGAAACTGAGAAAATAAAACAGAACACTAGACATTGTTTGTATTTCTTTTTGCATACAAAAAATGTAACTGTGTCTTGCCGGATATATTGAAAAACCTATTTAGACTCAAGCAAAATTTGGTTTGTATATTTGGCAAACAAATATTTTGTTATAGCTTGTGAATTAGTTTGTGAGAACCAAAATTTGATTTTCTAAACCAAAGTTTGGTTCTTTGAAACCAAATCTTTTTCATTTTCGTTTGAAAGAATCGAACCTTTAGTTCAACTAAATGGGTTTTTCAGTGTAAACATATTAGGAAGAAAATATAAAATACTTATTTAAAAAATATAATTTCTAATCGTTTCCTCTTATTTAATTTCTGAATGAAAACGAAGTAAAAATTTTAGCACAAAACGAAGTAGAAATTTTAGCACAATCATCGTTAAATTATTCAACTTATCTATTTATTGTTTCGATAAACGATGGAATTTTTTATCACGTTTAGTACTTGCATCGTGTATAAGAAAAAAATTCGATGTGTCGTGTTAATTAATACTTGAATTAATTTCAGGCGACACCCGAGCTCAATCATGAATTGTAATGAAAATTAGTGACACCTTAATAAACCGATATAAATTTTCTAGTGAATAAACACAAAGTAGAATGCATATTTCCAGCGAGTTTTCAGCTGATAAGTAAAAAACACGTCCTAAAAGAGAGAATAAATTATTCACACGCTATCATGTCCCGTCCTGCTTAACGATAGTTCGCCGCATTTCGCCGTGGCTGTCCTCCAGGTGGTCGGGAAGACTGTTTCTATTATCGCTGCGCGCGATAATGCAACTGGCGCAGTATGTAGTGTAAACTCTACTCGAATGCAAAATAGTGACCAGGTTGTGTTATAGCCGCTCGCCTGGTAAGTCTATTGACCCTAATCTGAAAACTGTTATAGGGGGGCCCGTATCTACACCAGTACATGCATAAATTTCCATTTTCATACTTGAGACTTTGCCGCAAATGAGACAACGTTCGTCGCGACGCAGAACAACTTTGTTCTAATCTATCTAGAAATAAATTTCTGTTATCGTTATAATCGTATTATATCAACGACAGATATACCAATGTTTATTTCGTCGTTTTTCTCGAAGATAAACTGAAAAAAGAATTTGGTAATAAGTACTAAAATTTGCTGTATATTTGCCCACCAAATATTTGATTATTGCAACCAAATTATAATTAATATTAATAATTTAGTTCTTTATATTGTATATACAGTAGTCCCGTATATTTAGTATACGTAACTAAATTATGGTTATTGGTTGCAGCAATCGAATATTTGGTCGGCCAATATTCACCAAATTTTAATACTTGATACCAAATCCTTCTTTCAGTGTATGAAATAGCATTGTCTGATACAGTTGTACGTAAATTACCTATTTTACATCAAGCGACGACAACGCGGGACACGTTACTATTTTCGTTTAATCGATTCTTGTAAAAAAACATAAAATCGTGTCGCTCATCTGAAGAGTTATACTTAAGTTATTTATTTTACATTACTAGCCGTGACAATGCGGGGCGGACTTGTATTTTTGTTTAATCGATCACGCGAGAGCTTCTGTCGTTCCTACAGCAACCGAACGGCCATGGCTGACCTCTGTGAGTGTATTTAAACATGTATTTCCGGCAGGCTAATAATTATTGAGGATTAGTTGGCAAAATTGAAAATACCGCAGCGCGCCAAGTCGAAGTGACATATCGAGGAGGATGGCCGCCGACGTACCGTGCTGCTACGGTAACGAAAAACCTCGGGATTATCGAGACGAGAAGCTGTCCGGGCTCGGCCCGCGCACCGACGATGTTTATCGCACCCATAATCTTCCATTGAGATTCATATATCCGAGTAAGTCTTTTTCGCCAAGTAACGCTACATTAATATTTCCGCGGGGATTTTATTTCGCATTAGATCCTCGTGAAGAGCGTGCTGCATAGAGATAATTGGAAAACGCTCGACCGTGCATACGTGGAAACGAGTGGATCTTGTTTATCTCGCGATACAGGACGCAATTTGAAACAACCTACACGCTACTACTTTTAAACTCAATATTGCGGATGTAACTGCGTAATACGACGCTGCTGCTGCTGCCGGGTGCTTTTCTCTCTCTCTCTCTCTCTCTTTTTTCCTTTTTTTAACTCCATCACTGCGTGAAAATCTAACGTTTTTCCCACGCTCTTTGTTTAAACGTATCGCATATATTTTAAGCTCCTCGTGTCACCGGGTGGTATAAGAGGATAACATGATAAAAGAGTCACATAAATATTACGAATAAGATTATTTAAAAATATGTCATGTGACGTTAATGCGAGAACATGCACACGCATACTCACGCATAAGCGCATTATTGTAACATAAATAAAAATTGCACGGAGGATAATCTCTTTTCGATGCGTCAGCGAGTGCATGAGTTATATTGCAGGTACGAGGCGTCCTCTCTCTTCGCACGAGAATACGTCGTTTCTCTTTAGATTCTGGTCCACAAGCCGCGAGTAGCCGGCGCGATAACGTTCGGCTATTAATAAGCCGGCGCAGCCGATCACTGCACCCGTCGAATCTTATCTGCCTCGCGAGCATTTTTACGCGTGTCCCAATGAATCCCTCGCTGGTAACTCGTCCCGAGTGCGCACACAATGTTAACATGTGTGGGCCGAACGGCGCCTGAATCTTTTATCGTCGCGCGCTGTAAAGCGCGAGGCTGCGATGCGGTTTTGTTATTCGTCATCGATAGTTCATCGTCGTTTTCCGGTATGCGGGCACAATATCGGCTGTTTGCCGCGGGGAGTGCAGAAAACGCGTGTGGTTTCTGCGCGAGGAATATTAATATATATCGGTGACGGGAATTTCAAGATCGTTCTCCGCCGTGCGAGAACGTTCTCCGAGATAATCTCCCTTCTTTTGTTTTCATGTCATTCTTTCACATGACCGCTCGATATTATTACTTCATTATCATACCAGCGTAATTGAGCGAAAAATACTTCTTAAAAGAGGACCAAGAGAACGTTGCGTGTCGCATCAGGAGCGAGGCGATAAGCGCTAATTCGCGCGTAATAAGCGTTAATCTTCTTTAATTCCGTGAAACCTATTTAAACTGAATTCCTCCCGGTTATCGTCGTGGCTGGAGGTTATTTAACTGCAAATAGTTTCCGCATAGTCAACTGATACGTTACAAAACAGAATTATATCGTAAGATAAGGATACAGCCGCCGTGTGTCGTGCGTGCGTGCGTGCGCGCGCTCGCAGCCCTGCGGGCGCGATAGCTTATAAATTAATTATTAAGTCCAAGAGAGATAAGGCGAAGAGAGGAGTTACGTCTCGCACAACGACTCACCGCTGATATATTCGCGTAATGATATCTCGCAAGCGGCCAGCCACGCCGCGCGAATACTCGCCGACGGAACCCCCGGTCGCGCGCTCGAGGTCAGTGCACGTCCAGCCTCCGTGAGCCGCACCATGTGCTTCCTGCTCCTCATTTATCTCCTCTTATCGGCCGACGTCGCGAACGTTAGCGCGGAGGACGCCGACTGTCAGGTTTACAACCACCTTTACGTCTGTTTGGCGAACGGCGGCGCGCTTCACGGCGTCGCCTTCGAGGACGTCAACGCCGTCCAGACGATCGAGGACATCGAGCTGCATCTGGAGAACCTCGGGATCGTTGACATCGCGAGGAACGCCTTCGCCGAGGTCACCAACTCGTCCGCGCTCTATGTCCGCGACAATCGGCTCTCGTGCATCGGCCGGCACTACTTCGCCGCGCTCGATCAGCTCACGTACTTGGATCTGCGAAACAACACAATCGCCGACGTCGAGGAAGGGGCGTTCGCGAGGCTGGGCAACCTGGAGACCTTGCTGCTGGATTACAACAACGTCTCGGCTCTGCGGCCCGGCGTGTGGAAGGGTCTCACGGAGCTGCACGAGCTCTACATCACCAACAACCGGCTCGTGCTCAGGAGGAACGTGTTCAAGGGACTCAGGCAGCTGGAGACGTTGGTCCTGGATTCGAACGATATCGCGGAGATACCGATCGGCGCGTTCAACGGCTTGCCGCACATAGACCTCCTCTACCTGTCGCGCAACAGGATCTCGTCGCTGCATCCGGACGTGTTCCGCGGCCTCGGCGAGATAAACGAGCTCGACCTGGGCAGGAACCGGCTGAGAGCGATCCCCGCCGGTGTCTTTCGGCACATGAAGTCCCTGAACTCGCTTTGGCTCAACGGCAATCAGCTGACCGCGCTCGAGCCCGACGTCTTCCTCGGCTTGGACAATCTGCTATTCCTGTTCCTCAACAATAACAACGAGCTCCGTCACGTGGACATGGCGGCGTTCGTGAGGATGAGGAACGTAACGGTGGATCCCGGATTCAAGATACGCGGCTCGTCGGTGGACGATTTCGGCAAACTCCACGGTCGATATCGGTGCAGTAGTGCAGCGTATCAGTTGCCGTACGAGTGTACGGAGATCGATTCGTAGACTCGAGGAATCGAGACTGGAGCGGCTGGGGCTCATGATCGTGGCGTTTTCGTATTCTCACAAACCTACCTGCGCATTAAAAAAATGCTAGAATCACATGGAAAAGATGCTGTTCAATCAATAAAATTTCCAACGGCAACGTCACTGGAATAAATCTACTTAATTCAATGGCAAATATCACTAAAATTATTGTTACGTATTGTTTCGATAATTAAAGTATTAGTTTCAATAATGTTATATTGTTATTGAATCAAGATTTACTCCAGTTACGCATGCTGTTGGGAATTCTATTGATTCAACAGCATTTTTCAAGTACAAGTAAACGTAATTACCTGCTTTTCAGCTACTTAAAGCAAATAATATTTTCATCAATTTAAATATATCTCAATAGCTGGCAGCATAAATATACAGCGAGAAACATTTTATACTTGAATTAAAATCGATTCTTATTAAAATTTTAACATACTCATATATTAATTTAATATAGTGTGTTTATATTAAATCAATATTTTGTGTTGTGTCGATATTCAACATGTGTAAGTGTTAAAATAACACATTTTATACTTTATTCGATTAACATATTCATTTTGTGTTAATTTTTGATATAATATTTGTGTTACTCTTCAATATATTCACCTTGTGTTGAATTAATACAACAATTTGAGTGGACCGTTTGGAACATGTGAAATGTATTAAATTTAACACGCAATTTTTTACTGTATACTTGAACGCAATACGTTAATTTGTAAATGAATTACTGAATGTAAGCGTAAAATAGTTCTAAAAATTTAAGAGAGTAAATCTTAAAATAAAATCTAAAAATTTAAAAATAAATTCCGATATTCTCAATTATGAATTTAGTATTTGAGGCAACTGTTTTAGCACATATATAGATAAATATCTACGAGGAAAATTTGATTGTTTAACCAGAAAGGGAACAATCAAATGCGTTTTGGTTGAAGAAAACAAAATTTCTGGTTCTTATGACTCAAATGTGGTTCTTATAATTAGAAATTCTGTTTCATTCAACCAAAATGTTTCTGGTTGTTCTCTTTCTGATTAATACAACCAGACTATTTTCTGTGTACTTATACGAAGAAAATATATTGTATCATAGTCAATTATACTTCTATTTTTTGTAAAAATTTGTCAAGAAATATTTGAGTAACCATTTTACTTGAATCAAGTAAATATTACTTGAACGGTAGCACTTTTTTCAGTGTGAGGAAGAGTTTCAGAAAGTGACGTACATATTCGCGCGCGGAAAATCACCGCCAGATATATTTCCACGATGAAATCGCATTTGGGACGATTTAACATCGCGAGCATGAAATATAACTAATCGTTGGACACTCGTTACGAATACACCGTGAACATTTCGACATTTATATTTTCCGAGAAATTTACCGTGCGAGCTTTTCGAGGAACTTTTCGGAAGGAATATTTAGCGGGAGTTATATGTACTTTGTGAAAATTAATATACTCGCTTTGGTATCACGTGTGTTAGCTGTCCCAAAGCGAAAATAGTGATGTTGACTTTTGCCAAAATTCAACGGAAAGCTAAATCCGTTCAAACGCAATCGTAACGTTTTTACCGTCGTTCACAGAAGCCTTTTGGAAAATAGGATTTCGTCTCGCTTGGCATCATTTTATGCAAAAGCTGCCGCGCGAATGGATAGATCATAGAACGCTGCACCAGCGTATGTTAATTGCCTTATTGATCGTTTATGCTTTCCGCAGGATTGTTTAAGGGTTACGGTCAGGAGAGCGGTCCTCCTCCCCATCCCTGCTACTGGACAACCTCCATGGATTACGGCTGGTATGCACCGACAATTCATACAGTGCCCGCGACTTTTTATCCGCGAAGCACTTCTTTCAGTAACGAGTACGGTCGCGTGGGGATGCCTAGAAATTGTTCCCTCAACACGGAACTCAACAAGACGTTGTTCTAATTTCTACGTCACTTTATAACCATGCTTCGTGCTTCAGAATGACGATAAGAACGATAAGAACGTAACGCGCGATCGATGCCATCGTATCGATCGATGCATTCTCGTCGTCGTTAAGCGTCGTACGCTGCTTCTTGATCTTCGTAGAAATTTTATCAGTTTGTATCTATGTAACGTGCAGTCTCTCGGAGACAGATCGCTCCGAATAAAAATGAAAGATGTCGATTGTGATCGCTTCTTATCTTTTCGCGATAAACCAAACGCCCGAATTGCCCGAACTATTTCATACAAATGTTGCAGAGAGCGGAAGGATGCTGGTCACTTTGGGAGGCAGGATATAGGCGGAAACAATGACGAACATATGATTTTATGCTTATACGTTTGTTTTTATTATTGCAGTTCAGCTTACGTATCGCATTAAACATAATAATGTATTATTATGTATTTTAATAACAGATTCTACGTCGGGGCGCCCTCGAAGTACACGACGCCTCCTATCTAATGTTCAACGCCATCGCATCGAAATTACCATTGCTGTTGCAATGGTATTATTATTATTATTATTATTATTATTGACGGTTAATATCGTTTTTGTATCTTTTTCTTATTTTTCCTCTACCGGTGCGACTCGCACATATTACACGTGTCGCGGTCGCCTAATCGTTAACTTAATTTGAAAAAACGAACCATTGCGCGTACACAGTGTCGTGACGATTACACATTGATATTGAGTCGCAGATAAAACACCTCGGCATTTGCGTTAATTACTTATATTTCACATTAATGTAGTAATACAGTCGTAATGGTAACTCCAATATGGCAACGAAACGTATATTATATATAATATATATTTATATGTGTATACATAAACACAATGGACATTTATAGTCGCGATCTATTGTTTTAACACATTTATGTGTAGGATTTATCGTAACAACCATAATGACTAGGAAACATTGGAAATGTTTTATAATCTATTATGGCAACAGTAATGAGGGGTGAGAAATGGTTGATACATTTGTTTTTGTCTTTTCCTTCTTTCTCCTTTTCGCACTCGATAATTATAGTGGCCTCGTGCGACGCGCGCGTCCGAGTTGAATACCGCTCTATTGTTTTATTGATATTTTTCGTTCCGATCAGATTACCAGAACCATGCCCGAATGTAATGTTAATCCAACTAAGCGTTAATCAAGCAATTCAGAGAAACGTCACCGTATCGATTGGCCATAATTGGTAAAAATATAGAAGATACGAAAAAGCAAAATAAATCCCGACGATCTTCATGCTCTCACTTACATCGTTAAATCGTTGTTTTCGAAAAGACGTTACGCACACAAATGGAGAATTAAGAAAACTTGCCGCGGTGGATCGCCGTTTCACGGTGCCCGTCCGCGACACGCAATCGAGTAGTATTTTAATCGCTATTTTCTTTCGACAACACCGATCTCGAATTTCTCGTTAATAATCGCGATCGATTAGCCCGGTACAAAATTCTCGCAAAAGGCGCAGACACAGCGAGTACAAAGCGCCGTAAAGCAACATCGCAAATCCAATGCCCCACAATTCGAAAGCAAAGTTTCGCAATCTCATACGATTGCTCCACTAGCGATTCGTTTTCCATCGGATGCCTCGAACGTAGTTCATACGCGCGGTTTGTGCACGCTTAACACGCATCAGGTAGAAAACAACATGCTTCGACCTTATTATCTCGCCCCATAAGTGTCTTACTATCGATTTCTACGTCTCTTGCAGTCGGCTACTGCGGAAAAGATTTTCTTGACGACCAATGAACGTCCGTCACGATGCTCGCTGCCGATCGCACTTCTCGTTATTCTGTTCGCCGAGGCGGAAGCGATTCTTAATATCGATCGTATTTTCATCGGGAGGACGCGACGAAGCTCGCGAAAACTACATACCCGTTACTGTTCCTCCGAGCTATCGAATCTCCGAGATGTTTAGAAGCGAAACTTCCTAGGCCGTCGTCTGTTCTTCGACTCGGCTTGATCGCAACGAACATCCCGACGTGCATTTTAATAATTAACGTTGCATATGATAGGAGTACTTATATATTTGCGTATTTTCGTCTATATATATAATTTTTTCTTTATATATTTTTTATATATATTTATATATATATATATATATATTATTTATCTCTTTTCATATATATTTATACACGGTTCTCGTTAATATTGTACTACACTTCCTCGCGTAACTCGCTAAAGGCTATGAATTTATAGTCTTACATTATATAACCGACACTTGTGTAATTGATACATATAATCGGTACATATAATCAATACTTATATATCCGATACTTATATAGCCGATATAGCGACACTTGTTATAGTCGATACATATATAACCAATATTTATATATTCTCGATACACAAGTAACCAATGCATCTCCTCTCCAAACTCTGATAGTCCTTAGTAATTAACGATGACAGATAGAACTCGCATTTTATGTGTGTGACTTAATCCGCCCCTTACTCGCACTTTTACTCCACCCTACGCTTGTACAAATTCGAAGAACAATAAATAATGTCTATGCGCACGCAACGCACTACTCGGACGTTCGTTTTATATAGTCGTCCTTTATTTCCTTCCTTTCATTTGTTCGCTCCTCACCGCTTGTCAGGACTCGTTCTGTTGATTCGTTGTCCTTTCAATGACCACTATGAGTACGCTTATGACCTTAAGTACCGCTCAGAGTTTATCGTTAAAAAAAAAACGCGCGGAGGCGGGCGTCGTCGTGCAGTTCTCACGTGTTCTTCGACGGCGCTCATTATCGATTCGCGTTCCGGCGATCTCGCTCTCGAAGAGGATCGATCGCTTAGTCATCGGCAAAATCTCTTTTATTTTTCGCGCCATATCTCATAGATATAATACCCATCGATCTTATGATTTTTTTCTCACACCCAAAAACCTCCCATGATCGATCTCGACTTTGGTAATACTGTGTAAAGATGTTCATTTCTTATTTCAACCTAACTACGCGATCGATCCTCGCTGCTACCACATCTAATTCGCGACGATGTCGTGGTGAAAAGTATGCAAGACGTAACGAAGCGCGTGATGATGAAACAAATTATCGAGTGCATCCCGAAAGATTCATCGATGCGCTCTCTTCACCGATGCGATCGTGTCGAGTTTTCGTAATCGGAATAGATTTCGGAGAGACCGTCACTTATATCCGGATCATCTCCGAACTTTGTAACCCACCTTGCAATTCTTTTCATTCCCCTTCCCACCACGTACCGGAACCATAACGAATTATCTCCCGGTGTCGTCATCGTCCATTACAATTCTACCTGTAATTCTTTTTTCCCCTTCTTTTTTTCTTTTTCTTCTTTTGCGACGGTTGAATCGCACGCAATCTCGACACACGGTGTATTGTCAGGAGTCATCAGCGCTGGTATTCAACCTCAATACGAGGCTCGCCGAAACGTCGGCCGTCGCGTGAATGTCAGCCGAGCCGAGAGTCGCGGTGGTTTCCGAGCACGTCGGCGGCCGACGAGTCGATCGCGGGACCTCGATTCAACCCTTTCTCCCGCGTGGGTGGTCCGCTTGTGGGCATCAAAGCGTCGCGTCTCGATTTTCTCTTTCTCTCTACATCTCTCCTTCTCTTTCTCTCTCTCTCTCTCTCTCTCTTTTCCTCTTTCCATGAGAACACGATCAACGAACGCGCTCGCGTTCGGTAAGAGATGGATCATCCCGCTCGAGGAAACGGCGACGATTACAACTGCCCACCCGCCGGCGCTCATCCTCTAATTTACTAATCCGTTCCAGTTACATACATATTGTATATAGCCGATATTTTTATATACAGGGTGTCCCAGATATTCCGGGACGGCTGAATATCTTGGAAAATATACATTTTTGAGAAAAATGTTTCAGGCAAAGTTGCAGGATATAAAGTGATATATTTAGAAAGTTAGCAGTTTGATCTTGGGTTACGTCACAAAAGTCAGGTCAAAGTCACATCGACTTTTTTAATGGGAAACTATTTTTGAACACTTCTTTTGATACCTCTCTGCTGACACACACACACACACACACACACACACACACACACACACACACACGTATGAGCGCTGGTATTCAACAAAAGAGATATAAATCTGACCGGGCAACTTCCATGTGGTACACCTTGGGTAATGTTAATGCCGGTGGTACTCGAACATTTCAATTCTCATAACTCGAAAAGTACTCAATGAAAAATAATTTTGTTATAGTATATTGAAAAGCTCTTGACATCAGCTATTAGATTCTGGAATCAAAAATAGGTTATCTCGTTTAAAAAAATTGATATGACTTTGAACCTGGCTTTTGTGACGCAACCCAAGGTTAAACTGCTAACATTACTAAATACATCACTTTATACCCTGCAACTTTCGCCTCAAACATTTTTTTCCAAAATGTATACTTTCTAAGATATTCAGCCGTCCCGAAACATCTGCGATATCCTGTATAATCTCGTATATAACCGATACATATAACCACTTCTTCTATATCCGATATTTATATAACCGATATTTATATGTAATCGATAGTTGTGTGTGTGTGTAATCAATTTTTATATATCCGATACTTGTATATAATCAATACATGTAACCGATATTTTTATATATATATCCAATACTTATATAAAAGATACTTATATAGCCGATTATACGGTCGAGTTACATGCGTAATTCTCTCCGCTTTACGTTAGCTCTTAGGATCCCTAACGAATCTACGCGAATGATTTAGACCTGTGTCCTCTTGAAATCTTAACGCGCTAATTATCCTCGGAATTGTACGTTATAATAGAGTATTCTCCCTTGTCTCGGCACCATAGGCTGACATTAGTGATAACGGACTAAATAACATCGACACCATATACCGTACATACAGTAATATTACTTATTTAACGTTATGATACGATTTGATCGTTTATGTGCACGTATAATGCTTGTATAACGCGTGTATTTGTCGGTGTGTGCTTGTATGTGCGCGTGTGTGTCGTATGATGCGTTCGTGTATGTGAGTGGGGTATCATGGTGTATCATGGGATCATATATGTGGCTAGCACGCATTGAAATCAAGGAGGTAACGCACGGTACCGAGTCGCGACATATAATACTCGTCGCGCCCACACGCTTACTGCTATTATCATTATTTTTTCATCGAATTACCGTTCGAGTTTTAACATTAAGTTGAATCGCTGGGGTACATACGAAGTATTATCGAAAGGCGAGCCGTCGTGTAATCGGGGATTAATCGATGATGCGTACTTTATTTTATTGTTGATTGGCCACAGCTCATGCGAATGCGAAACTAAAGCGAACCGCCGGAAACGCGCTCGTCTCTTCTCGCGCATTCGTTGTGTAAATCACACTTATAGAGTTAAAGAGGTGTTTGGTGTTTTACCTGACCGACAATCGCAATTAGCGATTTGACCGAGCGCGTTCGTGAAAGAAAAAAAAAATAGCTTCGAACAGAATGCAAAACTGCAACGCGACCGAAATTGTTCTTATCTCGGGTACGTCGAGACTTCCGCGTTTTCAGAATATCGAAACAATCCGATCCGTTTATCATTAACTCCACAGCAGCGGCGTGGAGATTCATGCAAACGTCATTAGCGAACTGTTCTCAGGAGCGTTGGTTAAACGATTTCCTGGATAATTCACTGCGATTGACTTTAATTAATATCAGATCGGAGACGAATCTGTCTCTAATCCGTGTCTACTACAATACGCGGGGATAATCTTGCATGTTAATCTTAAGACTGTATCTTAATCTTAATCTTAAGACACTGTGTATGTCGCAATCTACAATGACATGTATAGATTTATCTACATATATATATTTATCTATCTTATATATTTATACTCGATGGAAGGAAGAAAGGAGGCGGAGGAATATTAGAGGATCCTCTGAACACTCCGTTACGCCGCTGCTGCGGATCAAAGCAAACAGGAAAAAAGGAAAAGAGGCACGGTAGCTCAGCGGTCATACCGCCAAAATGATATGTACGTAAAGGCCGTTCTACAAAAGCGTAAACGCAGTTATAAGTAATTGTAATGTCACAAGCCACAGTTGTAAACTACTGCTACTACCGGTTGTAAAGTGTGTTGCGAAAGATGGTTGAATTTCATCTTTCACGGCTACGACAGCGTAGACTGTAAGAGCCAACCAATCAGGGTGCTATTATGAAAATGAGCGTGATGATAACTGCATTCCGATTGGTTGTCGCATCTTTACTCCGATGTAGATTATTCTGTTGTACAACATTCACTACTATTTCTACTCTCATAAACCTACGTCTACATTTGCGCTATCGTAGAACGGCCTTAAGAGATTTCACCTCGATATACAATGACGAATGCTCAAAAAGCACAGTGAAGGGCATATATATGTATATATATATATATGTATACTTTGTATATATAGGTGTATGCGTATATATATATAAGAGCGTTATGTAATCTAGAGGCGTGAAACACGCGCGAATCATAACTTATTGCACGATCCTCTCGTGATAATTGAAGGACCGTCGAGATCGCGGAGAGACTTATGGTTTGTCGGTAAACTCGCGTTCCCTCGCGTCGGCGTTACGTCGGGAGGAAACGCGGACTCAACGCTGCCAGTCGTTCGCAAACTGCATCTCGGTACATGCGCTACGATCGATATCATGGAGATCATTAATTTACAACTAGGAATTGCGCATCGATAAGTCTTCGGAACTGTCAAAGAACGTCGTCTCAATCAGAATTCCCCGTAAGTTCGTTCCTCTCTTTCTCCCTCTTTTGTTTTTTTTTTTACCAATCTGGCGAGTCGAGCGAAGAAGAACTTCCTCGTTTCATCTAAGAGTTTGCGATACGACGGTGATGCTTTCGAGATTCCCGCGTATCTCCGCGACGACGACGCGAACGGGGAACGTCACCGTGGCCGAGGTGGATCGTTAAAACTGAAATTACGGTGGATTCTTATTAAGTCGACGTTAAGTGGGGTATGTTTGTCGTGTAGATGCACGCATATTACATGTTATGCGAAATCGCTGAGATTTCTACTTTGCTTGTGCGGCAAGGGGAAATGATATTGCATTGCCCATTGGGTCTGCAGTCATGTATACACAGCAACACGAAGTATCCTAGGAAATTGAAGACGCAATATGGTTACCGTGCTAATCTACGGATATTGCTGGTGCATTATTACTCAAGCTATGGTGCAAATCGGTGCCTCCGAAACGAAATGAAAACAATACCGGTTCCTGCTCACGACATCACACGGCCACCGTAACTAAACGTGTCACTGGATAACGCTTCGATAAGTTATGATCCAAGCAACGAAATGCCCGACGCTGTTTCTGTTGAGTCAACGTACACGCGCAATCGCTTTACGACAGTCGCGAATCAAACCTGACGGCTTTGTCTTGCGACTTTAAGGCAAAATATTGAATGATATCTTCAAGTTATACGTTGCGCAGAAAAATTATCGCCGATTGAAAAACAAAGATCGAGTTGTCTTCCCCAAGACTCGAGACTCGATAATAATTAATTTTTAATTGATCCAATAGAACCGATTAGCAAGTCGTAGAAGATTATTTTTAAATATTCACAATGTATCGAAGGTATTTCACGGAACCGAAAATAAAGTAACGAAATATTAGAAAACGATTGGGAGGAAAAGATCAAATTGGTTGATTGTATGCGTAAAAATTGAATCGTGGAAACGCTCGATCGAACGAACGCGCGCGTACGCAACATTCGCTCTCCTACGGATAACTCCGAGGATCACAATCACAAGGACCTTCTCGAGCAAGCGAATCCTAACTCTATCCGTTCTACCGACCGAAGTCGACGTCGATGAGTTGACTAGGCTGCGACGCGTCGCCCAAACAGTCGCTTCTAGTTTTCTATTTTTATCTAGTGCTTTAGACTCGCACCCCTGAGATATTCTTCATCTGTAACCGCGTCTACGCATCTATCGCTGATCGACTGACCTCCGCGCAGTGACGTGATTATGTTTGTTTGATTGCTCTCCCCTGTGCCGTGGCGTCAGCTCTGAAAACGGAATCGGAGATCTGCGTTAACCGTCGAACCACTCGCGCGGTATTCGCGCCCGTGTCTCAATCCGTAATCACCGTGAAACACTCACGTCGCGAACTCAAGATAATTTCCCCCCGGGGTAACGAGAAAAACACACGGCGCGAGAAAAGGACCTCTCACCCGGTTAACAAGAGCTACAGCTTGGACGTTCTCGGGAGTGCAATTACGCTCACGGAAATATAATTACGTTCAACTGTTCGCGAAAGATCGCGTTAATAACGCGAAAGATCGCGTTAATACGCGCAGGGGGCTAAAGACGTTCACTCACGCGAATGCTGCCGTCGGAAGTATCTTCCGTTCGCAACGTATGGAAGACAATCTACCGTCACATGTTGCAAAAATCGAAAATCTCCTCCGCACAGTAAAAAACATTTTGTACTAGTGTTAAAATCGGTCCTTGTTAAAATTTTTGTGTTAAACTCTTAATATAAAACGCGTCGTTTGTTAATTTAACGTATATATATATATATATATATAAACGTATTATGTTCATGTTACTTCAACATTTTGTGCTGTGTAGATATTCAACGTGTGTAAGTGTCAAAATAACATATTTTATACTTTAGTGTCGATTAACGTATTAATTTCGTGCCAATTTCTGACATAATATCTGTGTTACTCTTCAACGTATTCGCCTCGTATCAAATTAACACAAAAATTTGAGCGTTCAGGACATGTGAAATGTGTTGAATTTAACAGAAAATTTTTTACTGCGCGGGATCGCGGAAATTATGATGTGTGTACATATATACATACATGTATATATACAAGCGCTTATTCGCGTAACGTATTCTCCGGTCGCGAAGGTGCGTGGATGTTATAATAACGGATGTAAGTTTTGGACGGTGCGCACGTTTCTCCGCGCCGCGGTGGAGAGATGCGAATGAAGAAACAATGTGTCTCGGCGCGAATATACAGATGTGATGGGAGATCGAGGTTTATAAAAAAGTACAAATAATAGACCGCACACGCGGCAAAGTGCGTGGACGCGACGTCTGGCCCGATGTGGGCGCACGTACGCGCGTCCACCTCGTCCCATTCGTCGCGGAGATTGATCGGCGTCGTCGTAAAATCGTGCACTTCGCGAAAAATCATTTTCTCTTTGATTCGCTGCGCCTCCCCCCTCCCCCTCCCCCGACCTCGTCTCGTGACATCGCGATCAACGTGAATATACGAAGGACACTTCAGCGTCAAGGCACATGAAAATCAAACCGTCAATTACTTATTTACTTATGCAGTTAGAAAAACCGCGAAAGAGAGAGACGAAACCGCAAACATGTAAAACTGTCATTACACCGAGAGAGAATACTAAACAAGAGATTATACTTTCAAACGAATTTGCACGTTCGTTCTCCTCGTCAGTCGCTTGTAGGTTCAAATCCGTCGCTTCGATACTTCCACGAACCGATGTGTGACGTATTAATTGATATTTCTGGAAATGTTAAACCTCTCTTTATCACATTGAGCGATGATCGCTCGCGTCAGCGGAGTATCTGCGTGGATTTTGTTCGTGAAGTTCAAATGAGACTTATCGACGCGTTGCCACGTCGCAACTCTTTTCGCCGCACCTTCCTCCTTTCAGAGCTGAGACCACGGTCGACGATATCCTGACGCGTCTCCTCGCGCGCTTTACTCCTATTTATTAAATGAAATCCAAATCGTTCTGCGAGAATCGCCTGCCTCCGTGCTGCGCGCTTCGCGTGGCCGTTCGTTGAGTTCAACTGGTGGTACGTTCCGCCAGTAATACATTCAATCAGTTCGCACATATGCGTATATGTATATATTTGCAGATTTATGTGTCGGGATCATATCTGTTGCACGTTCGCATGCCGGAGTATCGACGCGCGCGTTCACGTTCGAATTGTCCTCGATCGATCGATTCTCCCTCCGTTTCTCGTGCCAAGATCCGCTTCGCCAGCGCGAATTCGCGCGACTCCTCCTTAACCCTACGAAAATACGGACTCTCGCCGAATTTCCCACCGACTCACGCGGGATGCGCGACGTATTTTCCATCGATACGCGAAAATCCGTGCGCGAGACGTCCTCGTGAGAGAGAGAGAGAGAGAGAGAAATGGATGGAGACTTCTCTCAGCGTATCACACCGCGAATCAATCGGTTCGGATCGACTAATCTCACTATAACCCCTTCACCGATAACGGAGACGCCGAGAACTCGCGGACGCGGATGTCCTCATCGCGACGGCAAGAGACATCGCCCATCCCCCGGTGATTACCTTAAGTACTACTTGTGCGCTTAAAAGTAGAGACAACTACACACTCGTACTTCCGACCTGTAGTCCTCGATGAAAACCAAACGACCGTTTGCAGTGTCGGTTAGCCAAATGTTCAAGAATAATGCCCGAATCTCCTCTTTTTTTCGTCGTCTTCGATCAATTCGAATGACGTAGGCGTATGAGTATTTTTACAATACATTGCGAGATCGCCAAAAGACGCCCATTTGCCTGCCTTAATTTCCATCTCGCAATGCCTTTTCCCTTAAATGACGATATGACACACGACGATCCAAAACGTTAAGCCTAAAAGTGGGTGCTCGAAGTAAAACCGGTTGAGGAGATGCCAGGGGCCTACGGATGCGACTGTTGCACACGTTCGTAACGGCGAAGGTGCGCGCGCTGACGGTATTTCACGTACAAGTAATTCAATGGACATCGCGTCTCTCTCGCGATTTGTTGTGAACGGACATCAAGCTGATATTAAATAAGTTCGCCACTTCCGACTGAGCCTGCCTAGCAATTGTTGTTTTATTCGCCAATACACACGGATTACATAGAACCTACCTTACTCTCCACTGTATACACACACTCCACTCGCACACACACATACCAGCAGGATTCTCTCAATATACAGAAACCTACCCTCGCTCTACCTCGCTACAGCGCGTCAGCTCATTAAACCGTTGAACGCGAGATTCTTCGCCTTTGAGTTTCTCCCTGCGAGACGTTTCCTACTCTTGGCTCGATCAAGGTCGAATATCGAATCGACGAGTCGGCGAACGGGGAGCTCTCTGGTTTACGGACAATCCACGAGTCTCGATCGAATTCAATGGGTTAATTGGACTTCGCGCGGCGCGCGGTTTCTCGCGAGTTTTTCTTATATGACAATCTGCAAATATATAGATATCTACATGCTCCGCGTCAACCTACCTACGCGCGTTCGGCGCATCGAGTGAGAGTGATTTCAAGCTTTTTCAGTCGTGGAACATGCTCAGGGATCTTCGAAGAATGTCGTGAGGTCGTGTCATTTTTGCCGACTTGCTTTCGTTAGACACTTCGCTGCGAGAGCGCCCGCCGGATCCGCTCTCGCCCAGTCGGCCCTATGCCGAGGCCTACATGTCGCCAAAGATACCGGCGAAGGTCTTTCGCAGGTTCTTCATCGTGTCCTCGGAGTCCTCGCCCTGGGCCTGTGATTGACTGCCTTGCCGGTGGAATGGCACCCTGGGCGTCGGCGGTTCCTCAGGGCGCCGACCGACGGAAGGCGCGCTCACAGAGCTCACCGTGCTCGATTGTGATGCTGTGGGAATTCGAGAGGCACCGTAAGCTCGAAGGGAATCTTTTTCCAGACGCACAGAGCGTCAGTTGACAAGGAATAAGCAGATTCGAAGAGTACAGAAACGAATGTGCTAAACTTTCTGTTTTGGAGGAAGTGCGGATGATATGGAATAGCACGATTTCTAGCGTGTTAAGTGTCACAATATAACTGGTGGCAGTGGAATTATCAGCCATCACTGGATTCTTAATTTAACCTCTATTTAAGCAATAAAGAGGCAGCCTATAGGACGAAATCGTATGCAGCGTGTACGTCTAATTTTAGAGTTTCTACGTTTCATCAAGTAAGTTTTTAAACTTTTATTTAACATTCAATCTATTTCATAGACTCTTAATCGTTTTTCATTAAATGTAAAACTAATATACAGCTTTAGTGTAATTTATTTCGTTTTAACCGACCTATTCATTTATATATATAACATATATATATTATTACATATATATATTACATATATATATATATATTTCAAATCTACTTTTCAAAAGAATTGATATAAACATTAAACTTATTATAAATAAGCGAGATCCGTTAGGAACGCGTTATAAAAAGTACTTGACGTTACAACTCCGTGAAAACTAATTTCAGTTATCCTCAATAGTTTTCGATTTATTAAAAAAAAAACTTTATGTTATTCCACAATACCCACACTTCCTCTATATCTTGGTTAAAAACTTACGGAAGGGTTAATTAATTTTGTTACGTCGGACTCAATCTCGAGGGGATCTCGTGCGCGCATTTGAAATTATAATCAAATTCCGAAGTAGAACCGTCATGTTTCAAATTATACAAAATTTCGGTCGTGAACATTCTAATTGAAATTACACAGTCAACCCCATCGACTGACAAAATTTGCGTCAGTTATTCGTTGTTGCGCCACCAACCGTCAATTGCACGTTACCTACGGGGAGTTATTAATCGCGCGAGCGAGGAAGTACGAACCTTGGGAGTCACGTCGCTGCAACTGATGATGACTGTCCGAGGTGGTGACGTCTCCCGGGATCGCGGCGACGGTGGCGGCGGAGCCCATGGAACCCAAGCTCCCATGGCTCCCTATGCTCGTCATGGAGCCGATACTTCCGTGCGATCCCAGGGGTACCGGAGGCGGAGGAGCAGCTCGATCTTCCACCGGACTGGTCACCTGGCTGGAGCCCGACATCGAGCCCCGCGAGGCGGTCTTCGTCAGCACGCTCGGAGGTCGGCAGTAAGCCTGGGGATCGTAAATTATCATTCACGCGTAATGAGGCGATCGATCATGATTGCGAGAGCGCGATCGCGCGACGAACCTGCATCTTCGCGGTGACCAGGTCCGCGATGTGACGTCGATCCTCTTCCTGCGAGTCTCCCATCAAGGAGAGCGCGCTGTCGTTGACCTCGATTATGTACTCCCGGCCATCCTTGCCCACCAGCAATTCGATCGCACAGATATCTAGCCCTCCGAATAATTGCGCCACGTGGTCCACCCATGTGCGATGTCTCTCGCTCACGGAAAGCTGTTCCAGCATGGCCGAGCCGGTGTTCGATTTCCAGTTACCGCTTATGCTTTTTCGCCTGCGGGCAAACGCCACGGCGAGCGTTGCTACAATTTCAGCTTGTCTATTATGCAAAGCAACGTATCTAAGCCGCGGGTGGTAATGCTGCGTGAATTATGAACGCCGGAACGACGTAGAATCCGGTGTATCGGATTCTCTTTAACGAATATTTCATCCAAGATCGTTGTCCCCGGTGAATTAGCAATTCGAAAGAGCGCGGGACTCGCTAATCTATTTACACTCTTGGAAGTTAAACTTTCCCCGTGACAAATGTTTCATTCAGCTCCCTCGAAAGTTTAGCGTCTCGGAAAAGTCCGGCTTTCCCTTGAGATCTCATAAATATTAACTTGCGGACCATGCGATTTGACCTTGACTTCTCGAGGCCCCCTGAATGCTCAACTTTCATTGTGCGAAGAAAAGCTGCCGATTATTGTCCACGCTCTTTCGACCGCGATCGGTACCGCGGATTCCGGCGACTCACATGAAAGCCTTGTAGTTGTTGCCGATCTTCTGCACGTGCACGTCGTACTTGGTGTCGACGTAAGGTTCCGCCGTGCAATAAGAGTTAGCCATAGCAGCCAGCGAGGCGAGATCTAGAAATTCTTGATTTGTTTCCGCACGGGCCTTGCCGGTACCGCCGTGGGCGTGGCCCAGTTTCACCACGACGGGATATCGAGATGCGCTTACCTGCAATCGCAATTGACTATTGATGAATGAGTCGTCAGGCGATAATTAGCACACAGACGTGTCGTCGATGAGTGCCTCCTTTCGCATGATGTCACGTTTGGATTAGCGATAAAATCTGCGATCGCGCAACGCGCGCTCATACGCGCCTAATTAAAGATGCGGGGCGTCGCCGTTACGTTTTACGATATCGTCGGACATAAATTCGATGTAATTCCACTCGAAGGAGAGATTTGTACCGCGCGCGGGTCGATCGGGATTGTTTATTATAACATACCGTCAACGAACTCTTCACCTCGCGTCACGTTAATCAGATTAGTAAAGGGGAGAACAGACGGTGTGTATAGGAGGTAAATGCTTCTCAGGTTATTCCGTTAGCGTAGATAACCGTGGAATTCCTCGGCGATAAAAGGGCGGTATAAACGCAAGAGCTTAAGTGCATCGCTCCGTTGGATCGGATTTATATGATATTTATTAGTTCCTCGTTTGTCTCCGTGCTCCTCTTATCGACCTACTCGATATTTTCCATTACCCTCCATATGCCTAATTAATTACTATCTCCCATTACTCTTTGAGATACTGTTTCACGTAAAGTAGTGTCAGGTATAAAGATAACTGCATTTTTATAATGCTATGTTCAACGTGTGGTAATAGAAACGTAAAATACTCGAATATCGCTGATTAAAATATGAATTCCACTTTTCGACCTCCTTCGGAATGAAAAATTACTTTCTAAATTTTTCGGAGTGAAATCTCCACACGAAAAACGAAGTGACAGATAAGTAATTCGAATTGGAGCGACTTTTCACTTTTACGGAGCGAATTCTTCCACCTTGTGGCGTGGAGTGAATACTTTTCATTCTCTGTCGTGAGATTCCATTTGGAAAATGGAGTGACTATCAAATCATTCGAGTTGGGACTGACTTTTCACTCTTATGGAGTAAATTTTTTCACCTCGTATTACGGAATAAATATTTTTATTCAATCCATAATACTAATCTAAACTAACAGCGCGTGTTATAAGCAACGAGATGATCGAGCCTTACTGTAATCATCCTGTGGTTGTGTCCTTCCTTTCGATTCACGATTTCAGTTCACTATTTATTACGCTACTTAAGAACAACGCGGTAAAAAAAGGATACGTATACGTGCCAAAGAATGTAAATTAGAAAAATTCGTTCTTTTTGGAATAAAACATTTATTCCAATCAAATTAAACACTCATTCCAAACGCACGAAACATTCACTCCACGGTTGGAGTAGGACATTCACTCTTGTGAAAAGTGAAATTTCACTTCATTCTCACTCGTTTCGAGTGAGATTTCACTCTAAGAACTAGCGAATAATTTAGAAAAGAACTCAGAATGATAATTGCGCAATGTTGACACGGCTAAGATTATCACGTGTAAGCCAAGTTACATCGCGACTTAAATCGCCAGCGTGATCCGGCGCTCGCGCGATGACTCAGTTTGGCCCATCTCGCGAGATTATTCGGCACTGTCGCGCGAAGCAATCACTTCTTTTTTAACCGCTGCGGAAATGGAATCACTGTTAAAACGGAGCCCGCCTCGCCGTTAACGATCTGTTTACAAACGGTGCGGACGTAAAAGAGGAAGTGGCTGCTTAGTTATCTTGCCCCCCTTGGCCGCTGAACGGCCGTATCCGGACCCAATCTCCGGCGATGTACGCGATATTATGTGCGGCGTGATACAAGAGTGTTCAATCCGCCCGTGCGAACGTGTCCGTGTGTTCGTACCGGCACGTGGGTGTCGGAGAAGTGCTCCTCGGAGCACCGCTGCGAGCGCGTGTCGGTGCTCAAGTCGGAGGAGGAACGACAGGCGTGCGAGCTGGAAATGCGATCGTGGATAGAGAGAGGGATTTATTATGATAAAAATGCCGAATTAAAAAGAATTCGAATATTCATCCTGTTATTTATGTGGGCATCGTTATCTCCGAACGATACGGCCGAAATGAACTGTCGGAAAATATCAATATTCGAACAAATTGAATCCCGTTTGGCGATGTTCGATATCGATAAGGAAATATTAGACGACGAGGTACGTGAATATTATCTTGAGACGATCAAAGATGAAGAGAGAGAGAGAGAGAGAGAGCAAGGGGGAAGGCGAACGGAATGACGGCGAGGCAAAGTGGGAAAGCGTCTGATCGAAGGTGGCGACTGTTGTGGCGCGAGGAGGAGACGGCGAAGAGATCTCGAAGCCGACAGACGTGACTTCAGGCAACGGATGTGGAGTGCGGTAGGTAAAGCTCTCACCGGAGGCGGAGAGAGATAGATAGATAGCTAGATAGACGGGGAGAGACGGAGCAATAGACGCCGAGAGCACGGGTGATATATTCATAGTCGGGACTCAGAGCGAGCTTAGGCGTGGTGGGATTTCGAGGTAGCCTTTAAGGTATCACCTGGAATCGTTCTTTGAGCCCTTCTCCGAAATAGGCGGGCGTGTTTGCTCTCATAATGTGGTGTTTCGAGCATAGCTTATGAGCGGGCGAAACAGCTTGAACGTCGAAAGCTCGATCGAGCGAGTATTCGTTCGGAGCTATGAAGTTGGGAATGATTTAAGACCGACTTCGAAAGTTAAAGTGGCCTTCATGAATCATACGGTCGAGCTCTGGCAGAAGTCTGCACCGAGAGTAAACGTATGTCGGTGGGTGCAAAGCTGCGAGGAAAAGAAAGATTGCTGATTTAACGATCGATTTCGCGAAACTTCAAGCTCACGTTAGCCAATTTTCTGATCTACTTTTGAAAGTAGGATTGGAAACGTAGGTCACGTAGAAAGATGAAGTGTAGTTGAAATAAATCGACCTGATTTTTCGAAACTGAACATAGTAAATGTATATTGATATAGCCGTAATAATTAGCGGAAGAGGTGATATTTCAAAGCAAGAGAAGAACAACGTAAATTGAGGAGGTTTACTGAGAAAATCGTATGAAGGAGTTCAGTTCCTCGAGTGAACCTCTTTCAATTTTCGTTCCTTAAACGAAATTCAATGTATTTCCGTTTTAATTAAACGAGGGAGAGAGAGAGAGAGAGAGAGAGAGCACAGAGGTATGGAAATATTATTCGATCTAACAAGCCAATCTCCCAAGAAGAGACCGCATATCGCCGTAAATACCTTTTCCGCTGACCGCTTCAATTATAGAAGATGGATTTTGACGGATTAAATTAAACTGGAGCAATCGGAGCAGCATCGATCGGCAAGCAAGGACGAGTCGGAAGCAACGGGGAACATTTCTGAAAGACAGAGCAGGAAGGTCGGAGGATTTGTGACCGAGAGAGATGAAAGAGGAGGAGGAGGAGGAGGAGGTGGAGGAGACGAATGCAAAGGGGGAGGGGGAGGTCGGATAACATCGGAGGAAGATGGTTGTACCTCGTCCACGGAGTAAAAGAGACGGAAGAGAGCGAGGAAGACGGGGGCATACCGGCACCAGAGATCGGGAGAGAGAAACGTTGAAAAAGAGAACGAACGACGGCGAACGCGTGTATACCCAGTGGAGAGGGAAAGAGCGAAAGAGAGACCACGAGGTAGACGGACAGGGAAAGCCTCGAGAAGAGTGGGACAGGCAGAGAGCACGAGCCAGGAACGACGACGTGTGCGAGTAAGAACGTAGGAAGGAACGAGAGCCCGGCGTGTCGCTCGCGCTTGCATTGCTTTTCGAAGCTCGCGCGCGATCGGTCGCTCGCGACGTGCACGCGTACCTGTGCGTGGGTGCAGCTCGCGAAACGACACACGTGAGAGACAGATAGATAGATAGAGAGGGAGAGAGGAAGAGGAGGAGAGAAAATCCCCCGGTTCCTTATCGGTGATCTCGTGATCGATGTTATCTCGCGACGGGGAGATCCTTCTTCGTGCGCGCGAGAAAGTGACCGGCTTCCCCAGATCGATTCTCCGTGGAAAAGCGGGAGTGCAGTTTTCGCGTGTCGATCGAGCCCATGACTCGGATCGGGTATTATTATGCTCGTTGAGCTGTGAGATCTCGAACGGTGAAGAGACAGCAGGGAAAGGCGGAAGAGGCTACGCGGAAAGTCCAACAGCGGAAGGATCAAGAAAGGGTCACGGGAGAAAGGTAAAGAGTCCGTACATCGTATTGTTGGTCCGTGACCACGAATACTTATATTTTGTGATTCTTTCACGTCTTATGCGGTTTCCAGGCGAATTCATCGTGAATAATAGAGGAACGAAGAGCTTGAGAAGCTGTTTCAGTCGAATCGAAGTTTAATTCGAATGATCAAACGAGACGAAATTCGCAATTTGGCAGAATTCGAAATTCGTGTCTTCCTCTAAATGGATTTTTGCGGAAATTCAAATATCCGATACACGATAAATGTAAAATAAATATCGAGAAATTATATATTATTTTTGTGTTGTGCATAGTGAAGTATTTTTTACGGCCGAATAAAATTTTATGTAAACATCTCTGAAATTGAAATAGCGTGTATGTTAATTTTGAGTAAAATAGGTCATCTGCATAAAACGTATGAATCAAAAGATTGGCAGAAATTCACCGTGGTATCCAACCAGATTGAATAAATAGAAGGCCGTGTGTGGCCGTACGGCTCGAACTTATGAATGTCAATCCATAAAGGGTTGAACCGCTACTCCTGTACGATAAATAGTACCCCGTAGAGAACTCATATAATCCACACAAAGGATTACGATGCAAATGTCGCGGTAATTTATCGATGTATGATATGTACAAATATTTATAATATATATATTTCAGTAGAAAAATAATAACAAAAAAGAAATTAATTGTTAACATCGGTAAAAATATAATGCTGCTTACAATACTTTTATTTTTTTTATATAATTTCAAAAATTTTAGGCGCGAATATCTAATTTCAATGCGTGTAGTATGTATAATTTCAGAAAATGAAACATGCGTAAATGGATACGGCAATAAGCAGACAGAAAAAATACCCTTAAATTAATGAGAAATATTCTCATATATAAGCAAGAATATTATAATATTCTTAGAAGATTTTTAATCTTGAATTGAGTGCAAGTAATATTTATATCAATACAAATTCAAACAAATCCAGACTAAAAATCTTCCAAGAAGATTATAATATTCTTGCTTATATGTGAGAATGTCCATTCTTGATTTAAGTATAATTTTTTTGTGCAAAGAAGACATCTCACTCGATGGTGCAAGACGATGTTCTTCCAAAATAAAAAGCTCGTCGTACGATTTAAAATTAGCTCCGAGATCCGCCGGGTACCACCGAGAGAAGTCTGTAAATAATGACGTCATCCGCAATTACAATTTGCGACGACACGTCGTCATGCCGAGCCGCGATTAAATACGACGTTTTAGACGAACGCGCGCTTATGATTCGTCCACCCACTGTGAATCATTTTCCGGCAATTGATCACTGGAAAACGATTAAGTGTCCGTTGCTGCGTACAAAATGACAGAAAAACATCGCGAGCGCGAAGCGTCATTATACATTGTTTTTTTTCTTTTCTCGCGGGGAATAACAACACCCGAGATCCACCGCTGAATCCGATCATCGATGACCATCGCGCGTATCACGGACATTAGATCGTCTCTCCGCTCTCTCCCTGCGTTAAAATTATCGTTCGCGCGTGCAATAATCGAACGGGCGCCCGCGCGTTTCGGAGCGCTCTTTTGCGGAAATTGCGGTGTCTACCGGCGTCGTCGGCGATTGCAGTTTGCGATAAATTGAAATTGAATTGTGCTGTTCATGATGACGCTGTCGATTTGTCCCTAACTTTAGCCCGCTTCTGGGAAAGCAATCTCAATAAACGGGACGTAGGAAAATATGCGAGCGCGCGCTGCCTCACGGCTGTCTCGACGTAGTTAGTCCTACCTAAGTACATATGTACCTCTGCGCTCACAACGAGTTAACGATCGATTCTCCCACGTGAGTCGTAGGTGACTATTTTCCTGGCAACGGTTCCGGCCGGCACGGCATCCGAAATAACGTGTCGCCGGCGGCGCACTTCGTGTCGCGCAATAAAAGGAAACTGTTTAGCCGCCGAGGGACAAAAAGCGCATAAAGAGCGCGAATGTGTTTTCACCTAAGGCGTCGCCGGGGACAAATCTACTCTCGAAGGCGTGTCACTTCTTGTAATTACGAAAGCTCGCGAAAAACATACAGAGTGAGGTATCTAACTCGACCACCTTCAATTACTCATAAACTATTTGTTGTGCGAGAAAAACGTTTCAAACAAAAGTCATATGACATCAAGAGGGACGTACAGTATAATTACTGATTTTTGAACCCATTATATCTCAATAGTTTTCCACTCGTCGTTCGATACTCCTTCGAATTACAGGGTCAAATGCAGGGTAAGATTCAAGATCACCTTCGTATCTCGGTAAAAAGGCGAGATAACGAAAAACCAATTATTATACTGTACGTCCCGCTTAATACCGCGCGACTTTTGTTTGAAGCATTTTTTCACATAACAAACAGTTTACGAGTAATTGAAGACGGTCGAGCCAGATGTCTCACCCTGTGTACACGCTCCGATTATTTCTTACAATTAAATCGTGTCTTCGAGTTTGTTACTTTCTTACACGGCGACGAGTAGGCTTGAATGATCTCAGAGGCTCGATGCGCGCACGCACCGGCCTCCACCGTATTTCGTGCAACGAGGCAATAAATGCAGCGCGCGTTAATACCGCCGGAGGTAGCTCGCAGATCGCAGAAGCGGCCGATCCGAGAGATGCGGGCTGAATAATTGCCGTTTCCATTCCGCCGGCGATCGCGTCTCGCCGGCTCTCGTTGATTTCGCGGCGACCGGCTCATTGTGCGATCACACGAGAGGAGGATATAATTCATCGTTGTATCGAGCGAGCGAGCGAGCGTCGCGGGCGTAATGCGCGCGCCGTATCGTCGTGTATAATATCGCGTTTATTACGCGTTCGCTTCGATATACATCGGCCGGTGTGGCGCCAACCAGCCGGCCACTCTGCGCACCATTCGGCGTCGGTGCACCTTCGCCCTACGCGTTTTATTCCCTTTCAAGGGATACACAGGCGGATGTGCGGCTGGTATCTTACTCTCGGCCTTTTTCGCTCTCGCTCTTTCTCTCTCTCTCTCTCTCTCGTGATACACCCAGATTAGAAGCACGAATCGCGAGTATTTATAGCCGCGATAGCTCACGATTGCGCGGATACGAACGCGCGAGGAATGCAGTTCGGGAATCGCCCCGAGATCGGTGATTGTCGATCGCGAATGCCGATGGAACGTCCTGAGACGAGGCTGCCTAGCTTCGCCTTCTTTCTCTCTCTCTCTCTCTCTCTCCCTCTCCGTACGGTATAAATTATGTCGGTCTTTTTACCGACTCGATTATCGATGTCCAGTAGCTGCCGATATTATTTATTCACCTTCCCCGAGAATTCTTCTCTAATTTGCTTTCTTACCGCGTGTCTCACTCCGCGATTTGTACTCCAGTACTGGTCTATTCGCGTCACAGACCCGCGGCGCCGCACCGATCATTAAGCATTTCGTATCGTCTGCGTGCTACCTTCGCTCGTTGAATTGGTCGTGCAAATGACGCAAAGTGCCTCCGCCACAATACAGCTCTTCCGTCCGCGCAAAGTGCAAACGATCGCGCGCGAGTAGCAGTCTGACAAATCACACTCGTCGGAAATTGGCGCAGATCCAATACCTCCGGCGATTGGTCCGGCTTAAAATTGAGACGCCGTGTTTGCTCGAAATGCAATCCAGCGACCTTTCGTTCGGCGTACAACGTCGGGGCCGACGTTTGGTTTATCGGCGACGATCAATCCGCACAATTTCTCTCTCTCTCTCTCGCTCGCTCGCTCGTTCGTTCTCTGGGTCACGATCGCACGAGCGACATTGTATACAAACGGCGCTCAAACTCACCGTTTAGATCTAAAGTCGCGGCGAAGCAATTCCGACCCGGCCATTCGGCAGTCGCAGTCACGGAGGGACTGTCGAGCGATATCCTACGCGAGATAAACGCGCGATCATTTGCCGGAGATACCGATCGCATGGAGGAAACGATCCCACGCCGCGCCGTAAAACGACGACCACGATCGCCCGCGGCTGTGATGTTCAGCCGACGCGCCGCGGCATACAGGGATTAATATCTCCTTCGGTAACGAAGCGCGAATGAATGGTGTCGCGTGAAACTGCACAACCATCGGCCGCCACCCGGAAACACCGCCGAGCACCGGTGGTTCCCACAACAATTAGCCCGCGGTTCAAGAACCGCGCCGCATGATGCACGCCCGCGCTAATGAGCAGAAAGAAAGCTTGGTAACAGAAAGGGAGAGACAGAAAGGGGGAGAAAGAGAGAGAGAGAGAGAGAAGGTCATCGGAATCGAAGGCCGCCTTGTTGAACATTTCCAGGCGAATTCCCGAGTGGAAGATTTAAATTCCACCTTCAGTCTTCATGGAGAAGAAAACTGAAAGATATTTCGACTCGGGAATCCACACAGGATATTAGAAATTCATATAGGAATCCACACGGTGTGTGAAAGTCCATGTGAGAATCCACATAGTTCAGGAAAATTCATATTGGAATCAACATGGGATTATTATCTAGAATCTGGGTTTTCGGCGCAAATCCCAGGAGCAACCGTGGGATTTTATACGGATTACCACCTGATTTTTTCAACCCGCACGAGATGCGGGAGATCGTCGACGTCGAAAAAAAAATCGATCACTTCTCGTTCGGCTGTTGCAGAATCAGCCAACGCTCTGACATTTCGTTCGTTTATTAATATTCAATAATGGACAGGCAATGTAACAACACGAGAGGGAAGACAGATATGAAATAATAAATATGGATTGATGGCGGTAACGTCGAAGTTAATCGAGCTGCGTGAATGTTGCGATATAATATTATTCGTATATTATAATGTTGAATTTTAATATTATTGTAATACTATTCCTGGCGCAATAACAACCGGTTTATACAGTACGCGGCACATTGGTCGACGCGGCGGTAGCGGAAGTTTCATGCTCTCGCACAGCGAGACGAACAGCTCGTCGCCAATTAATGCAGAAGTGGAGCAGATTTTTTTCACTGACTCCACCGGGATCTTTCCACGGCAAAGGTCGT